TTAGTAGATTTGGGACCTTTATGACCTACCACTGATTCAAAGGACCCTGATCTAGAAGCTGTGATCGAAAGCCTCTGCAGTGACATGTCGGCTATTATCATGTTGATGATCTATTCAAAATCCAACGTTTGTTCTTACTGCAAATCAAAAATAGACACTTAAATAGTCCTTATGTTTGTTGAGAAACTTTGGGTTTAAGAGGCTTCTTCAAAGACATAAAAATCAAGTCTAAGTATCTGAAGATTTAAAAAATTAACTTACGAAGAAGGATGACTTCGTAGTCAGAAGATGTCTGGCCGCCTCTATTTTGTCCAACACACGTGTAGCTAGATAGAACAGAAAAAGTAAAACTTTATACTCAGCAACAATCGCTTTGGGAGAACCCTTTGAATATAAGAGTAGGTGAAAAATAGTTTGAAAAGATCCAATAAATTATCCTTTTACAAAATTCGGCTCGAATAAACTCTGATACATTTTAAGCCATATACCATGGGGCGAAGCGTTTTGTTTCATCATGCCAAAAACGCACAAACCCGGATATGAATTCCACCCACACCGCCACTTCTTGGGGCATTTTACTCGCATCGGAAGCCGAGCGTATTAGATCTGCCCTTTGGATGAGAGGTCCGTGTATATCGCACACTGGTGTTACGTCGGGATCACCGGTAAACATGTCTAAGGTTTCCGGACTATCATCGCCAGTCAAGTAGTGGGGAACAAATAAACCAATAATGGAAGTGTGGGAAGCATGCTTACTAGAACAATGTATTCGTCCATAGGCGTTTTACCCGAATACGAACACTTTGTATTACTACAGGCTACTTAATACTTGGCGTAACACCAGAACTCATCTATAAAACTCTGAGGCACACAGAACTGAGCCAAGCTCATCGCTGGTGTGTTGTGGGAAATCGGTAAACTTCAGGTCGATGCTTCTATGACTACGTCGAGAACATCGTAAACAGAGCTTTCACGTGACCTAGAAAGCTAGCGTTTCAAATTCACAAACCGAAACCTATTTAACTCTTCAAAAATGGGCAAATTAATCCATGCGCAAAGCACTGGACCCCATCGTTCTACATAACAGACTGTTTCGCCTGAAGTTTCTTCTTTGCACCAGTATTCGAGTCAGACTTACTTTCCTTGAAGGTCCTCTTGCATGTTGTTAATGGTGAGGTATGATGTCATTCTGTCGCTGGAAAGACGAGTTGCTATTCCAAGATCGGTCAGCTTGCCCTCCAGTGGACGTCCATTCCACGTCCAAGAAATAGTTGGCTCCGGATAGCCGGTCATTCCGCAGCTGATATCCACTCGGTCTCCAGTGCGTACCAAAAGTCGCCGCTGTGCATGTGTGCTCGTGAACGTTGGTGGTACTGGCAATATTAAATACGCAGACTTTGTTACTTACTGCTGTTGAGAAGACGTTAAGTTATGTATGATTAAACTGACATGATAGCCAGACATTTAAACTTGACGGAACTCACCCAGGACCGTGACTTGGTAGAATCTTGAATCACTGCCAGCTTCATTTTCGGCACGACACTCATAGGATCCAGTGTCCTCCTCGCTCTCACCTCGAATTTCCTACATGAAACAGTGGTTACTATGATGCCGCCTGTAGTCCTTTCAAATTTTCTCATCGTAGAGGTATTTGACAGGCAGATATGACAACGGGAAGAGGATACAATAGTATAAAGAGGTTGCGCACTGTTTGAGTAACTTACAAGGCTATTACCGCCTCCCATCATGGTAATGCGACCAGGGACAGGAACCACAGGCTGCCCATTTTTGAACCAACGAACCTCCGGTTGGGGAAAGCCCTGGCTGACCAAACAGGTGAGGACCGTAGCCTCATTCTGGGCGATTTCGATGTCACCAAAGCCCTCCTTTTCGATGAATGGCGGTGCTAATGAGGTGGAAAGAGTGGAAAGTATTTAATTCGAATGTAACTTTGAAGAACTCTGTCAAATTAGGAGCTACTCAATCGTCCGTTGGATGCGGAGGACAGAATCAAATCTTTCCAACGTACTCTTCACGACGACTTGGAAGTCTTTGCTTTCCACAGCATGCGGATTGATGGCAGAGCAGGTGAAGACACCACTGGTCTCCTCAGTCACCGCGTAAACAGTCAGGGTTTGGCCGTCGTTGGAGATGACCACAGACGAATCCACACTGCTGCCACTACCCTGCATGCCGCCGGCCTT